CTCGGTGATTTTAATGTCACTGAGTCTCAGTTTCTTTGTCTGTAAAATGGAAGAAATAGTCCCTGACTCTTCCAGTTGTTGGGAGAATCACATGGGAAAATATATGTAGAATACTAGCATAATGGTTGACCCATAGAAGATGCCCAACCAATGCTTCCCTTCACTTCCACTTACTGATCTGTTCCAGGGATAACTGGCTCCCAAATTGGCTAGAACACCAAGGGTCTGGGGATCCCAGAGATGCTAAGTGTGCTGCAGTGAAGAGGACCCTGTGGTTGTGCCATCTGCCTGGAACACTCCTCCTTGTTCACTCATCTACAGGCTGTAGATAGTGATCCGTCCCTGAGTTATTAAATCAAGTTAATGAGCTGTGACCTTCATTTGTTGTTTAAAAAGGAGGCAAATAGAATGGGAAATAACAAAGAACATGGTACATAAAAGGTATTAATAGTTTAATAAAAACATTTCTTTTAGCATTATGTGTATGGTACATGTATTTACTGGGTCATGATGATGAAGAATGTATTTCTTTGAGTAAAAACACTTAAAGGTCTCTGGGTGAACTCATCTAAGATCGCAAAGAATCAATTCAGATATCCTTGCATTAATTAGGAAGCAAAAAAATTCCAGGCCTTTCTAGAGCTTGCTTTTCACATCACACTGCACTGTGACTGTCTTCCCCTCACCTGTCTCACTCACTAGAAGTGATTTTTTTTTTTTTGCCGACAGGAAACACGACTTTTACTGCTGGGTCCTCAGTGTCCATTGTAAGTCCTGGCTCACATTATACACTCAAAAAAGTGCTTGATGAATATATAAATAAATCATAGCAACTGCCTTTGAAAAGCAAATTCACAACAGAGGGGTTATTCACTTGAACTCTCCAAATCGATACCTTTTATGAAGACATGGACATGGGCCAAGTTTCTCTTTTACAGTCTTTCCTGTGACCTTTTATTCCCCATTGGAAGACTTACCTGCTTTTCTGTCCTCCCCTCCCCATTCTCTTCCCTTGTCACAGGTTATTGAACTCTCTTTTATCAGGAGAAAGAATCTTTCCTTAGCAATTTGCACTTTTATGTGATTTTAATCCCCTTATACCTCTGACCATTCTTAGTAGCATTTAGATACAAAGGCCCATTCCTACCAGCAGCAGGAAAAGCCTTGTTCTCTGTTATAGGGATGCTTCTACCAGCTGGGAGGGAAGACGGGGAGTGCATATGATAATAGGCTTGTGGAGAGCCTTGAAGTTCACACAACAAAAGCTGTATCCCTGTGGCTCCAGAGCCCACGTGCATCTATGTCTGAAGAATTGATAATGTACTTGTGGAGCATTTTGAAAAATATTTTATTCAAAATTTTTAACATTTTATTTACTTTCAAGGTTCTACAACTAGAGGTGTTTCACAATGCAGGAAATACACAGTACAAATAGCCCATGAAATTGAATGTTTCCAAGTCATTCGCATAGAACATGCACAGTCTTATCATTAGCAACAAGCAAGTCCATGCGTACAGCGCTACCAAAGCACTTCAAGCACCTTACACAGAAGATTAAGAGAAGGAAAATAGTTACAACTAGATTGGAAAACAGAGAGGGTTGGCTCAAGTTTAAAACCCTGCCTGGCTCAGAAGTGGTAGTTCCCACCCCCCTCTCCCCTGCTCAACACTTTCAGCCAAACAAATTGCTATCACCTGGGAGGATCATTTCTGTAGGAGGAGGCCCGTTTCTTCATGATCCTGCGAAGATGCCTCCTCCTGGGCACAGCCAGGGTGGGGGTTGGGGGAGGAGTGTGTGTGTGTGTGTGTGTGTGTGTGTGAGAGAGAGAGAGAGAGAGAGAGAGAGCTACAAGGGGGAAGATAAATATTCTGCTCAGTCAGCTTAATTGTTTATAACTGAACAAAGAGACTGCTTGCTTTCTGATTTAGGTTTTGCTTCATAGAAAAATAGGAAAAACACTAAAGGAATCCCAAAGGCCCTCTGGCACAGTTTATCCTCTGCAAAAACCCCAAAGAGATTATGTTTGAATTTCTCTTCTCAGCTCACCTATTCCTAATCTAAGGGTCAGGTTCAGTGTTTACAGGAGCAGACTGGGAAGCACAGCAGAGATGCATTCAACAGCTGACTCCACCCACCTCAGCTGAGCCCCTGGGAGGCAGAGTGCCATGGGGAGAGGGGGGTGGAGATCTGACTCTGCCACCACATAGCTGTGGGGTCCTGGGCAAATCTCTTCCTTCCTGGGGCCTCAAGTTTCCTCTTCTGTAAATTAAGCATTAGACCTGGCGATAGCTAAGGTTCCTTCCAGCTCTAGAATTACATACAGCTAAACAGAATAAAGGGTGTCATTAGAAGATCAAAGGGACATGCTCATTATCTGACAGTTATATAATCAGAGAAGCCCTGCTACTCATTTATTTTGAGAAAGTAACTAGTTGGTTTTATAAAATAAGCATAACCAACGGGCACTAGTCCTATTCAAGCACTCTAGAAAAAAAGCAAGCATCTCTTTAAAAATCCTATAGCCAAAAATGGTGTTAAAAAAAAACCAAAACAAAACCCGAACAACAAAGGTACAAACTTACCCAATCATTTTTAGTAAGAATTCCCCATAGGCCTTCCTTGCTAATTCCTTTACTTTTATTGCCTGTTTTGGGGTGTTCAGGGGTGAGGGACTGTTTTTGTCACATCACATGAAAATAAGGCCAGGGGATGCTGTTTTTCCCTCTGATTTTCACTCTATGCATAGCCTGTATCTTTTCCAATTCTATGCCCCTAGAAAGTCATCTAGATGCTGCAGTCAGCCCTCTACAGACAAAATACGTATTAATAATCGAACACTGGAAATCAAATACCATTTCTGTACAGTGGGGCCTTGACTTACGAGTTTAATTCATTCCGTGACGGAGCTCGTAACTCAAATTACTCATATGTCAAATCTTAAAGTGAACGAGTGAGACACGTGATGCTGGGCTGATGTGGTGTTCACTGTGACGTTCGCTGCGCCAACTAGCGGTGGGGTATCTGAAGCTGGCTCGTAACCCGAATTTTAGCTCTCAACTCAAAGCAAAAAATCGGCCGAGAGACAGCTCATATCTCGAAAAAATCGTTAGTTGGGACACTTGTAAGTCAAGGCCCCACTGTATATTGTAGAGAAATCATTTGGAGAATTTCCCATAAAGTGTTCACTAGTTTTGAGCTTTATTTAAAAGCAGTTTCTCCTTTCAATACAACCTCCAACTATTAGAATGTTAACAAGATAACATTACCTGAAGTCTTCAGATCTTTTGTATGTCACAGTTTTAATGACCACATTAGAGAATAAAGGGTTGATTCTGATTAACACTACTCTTTCAAATAAGTCTATGTAATATCATAACACGTCATTTAATTTTCCTAATCTACAACTTAATTAAAAGGACTAAACTATCATCAATATTTTCAGAAAATTTCTTCTAGTACATTCACATTTGGTGCGTTCTATTTTTTAACAAGATACCCACACTACAGTAATTTTTCCTTCCAGATTTATTCTATATAATCGTTTCATTTCCATTAACTGATTTATCTCTAACCCATTAGCCTAATTGGCTTTTCCAAGTTGCTACCCAAGACCAAAACATTTCGAAATTTAAAAAATATTTGGTATCACAAAGACCAGCAAAAAAACACAAGTGAGGAGAACAGAGATAGCCACTTTCCATCGTATTTGTGACGTCACTAAAAGACACGTTCTAGGGTGGTTCTCAATCGTTCCTTCCACAGATTACACAGAAGCATATCAAATAATCTTCCAAAATGCAGTTGGACAAATATCGAACATTAATATTCTGACTTTAAAAAATTTAAAATCTCAGGGCTTCTGAGGTACTGGAACTGCCTGGATAAGAAGGGACTCTATGCTTGTCAGAGTGGCCAGCAACTCGAGGCCCTCGAGAACCTGCCGCCTTCCGGAGTCCTGCTCCCTCCTTGGCCCTGCTGTGCCTACCTAGTACACACAAGAGATAACTTTATAGCCAAAGTGGAGTCAACAGGAAAAAATCAATTCAAGTACATCATTTAGTGTCTGTAACACACACACTCCATGCCCGGAAAAGACAGTAAAATTTCAACTGAGGAGACTATGACCTTAGGTGGGAGTCAGACCAGATTCTGGGGCAGATTGGCAAGAGGAGAATACAGTGAGGAGGGACAGACATGGTTCTTCCATTGGAACCTGGATTCATTGGGACCATGAATTAGGCACCACCTTCCCCTTTTGGCTGTTAATACATTTATTATTTTAATAAATACAGCTAGCACTATTGAAGTATATTTTGAAAGGAATACAGGAGACTTGTGCTAAGAAGAAGCACATGTTATAGTTGAGTGAGGATGGATCTTACTCAAGAGTGAACTATGAGGATGAAAGACCAGAAGGCATTTCAAGTTCCATCAATTTTTTTTTCTGGTAAATTAATGAGTTTTGTCAGGCAAGGAATAAGTGACTTACGTGGTCTAAGAAATGATTGGTAATAAGATGCCACAGAAGAAAGTCTTTCCACCAAAATTCGTTAGGGACAAACACATAACTCTATATACAAGACTATGTCTGATGTCAAATCAATACACCAAAGTTAATGCAGTAGATACCACACAGGTCTGGAGATGATTCCAGAATGCTTACTTCCCATACTGAAGGTGAGCAAATGTCCAGAGCATTGGTCCACATATTCAATTTATCAAAATTAAAAATGTTTTTTCTCATTATTTTTACTGCAACCTGTGCTAAGAACTTTACTCTGGATCATAACATAGTCAAAGAATAATGTGTTAAAAGAATAACTTGTTAATTTAACATAATAGCTTTTCGGAAATTTCTTCAAAAAATGGTTAAACTTAAGGTCTTACAGTGGTGTATTGGTGAGCATGGGTTAATAAGAACACATGATCCATTGCCTTTGTCTTGCCAAGCCAGATTGCTCACAAGCCAGATCACAGTAAGAAATGCTAGGTTGCCTACCTGACATAGAGGGAGCGTTTCTGATTGGTTCGCAGGGACCCGGACCCGGAGCTCATGCTGTGGTTCATCATCTGCTCTCGTAGGTCATGGATTTTGGCCTCAAATCGAGCGTAATCTGGGAGTGGAAAAAAAGGGTGTTAAATTTGGTTCTGTTCCTCCAGAGAGTTAGAAATGCTGCCCACCCGAGGCAGCCCTCTGCCCTGTTGTTGGTTCCTTTGCCAGGCAACAGGAAGGTGCACAATGAAGAACAGTGGACACGCAGCATTCACTTCTTTGTATTATTTACTTGCAGACATTCACAAGGGGAAAAGAACAAACCAGTTACTACCCCAAAACATAGCTAGGAAATATACTGCCATCCCAATCTGTGAAAAGTCCACGGGAGGAGGAGGGTGAGGTTATAGTGGGCAACACAAGGTATCCTGTGGTGATGGAAATGTCTGTCTTGACTGTGGTAGTGGACACAGGTACCTGCACACGTGATCAAACGACATAGAACTCACTAGAAACACACACACACACATCAAACTGAAAAAATTGAAATAAGTTTGATGAATTATGTCACTATCAATATTCTAGTTGTGATAATATGCTATAGTTTTACCAAAATGTTATCATTGGGGAAACTGAATAAAAAGTACATGGGATCTCCCTGTATTATTTCTTACATCTGAATTACATGTGAATCTATAATTATCTCAAAACAAAAAGCTTAACTTAGGAGAGAAGGGGGAAAAAAAAATCTATGGAACTACTAATGTTACCGAGTTTTTAGTGAGTCTCCAGTTACCTCAGCTGGATGGACCAGAGAATCAAGTATTTGTGATGATTCATTTTTGCTGTTCCCCCCCTCTCCCTTCCCCCGCTGGAGGGCTGTTAGAAGTTGATCACTTGGAAACATACCTCAATTTTACACTATAACTTTAATATAAAATCTACAAGATCATCAATTCTAAGACACAATATATTTAAATCAGCTTCTCAGGGCACTGGGGTTAGAAATGGGGATAGAGGACACTCTCATATTAAATATATTTTAGAAATATTCAAACAAAAAATATATGGATCTAAAAAATAAGAAAATATAGGTATTTTATATTATTTTTAATAGAAAAAATGTTTTTCCAGTATACAATTCTACAATGCATTATCTGTATATTGTATTGTGTTTACCACCCCAAGTCAAGTCTCCTTAAACCTGTATAATTTTGTTAACTAATGTCACCCCAATAAGTTCAATTAAAAAATAAAGAAAAAGAAATAAAAGAATATTTTTGACAGATGTCAACCCAGTAAAAATAAAGAACAAAGGTTTTAAGATACTTTTTAATACAATCAGCATACAAAAAAGAAATGGCTTTTGAAGTTTTGATATTCTTGATTAAAATTTGTTCTATCATGTCTTTGACACAATAGTGTCTTTAGGAAAATCCAGTCGCTGAAAGGCTCAATTTATCCTCAAGATAAATGTGAAAATGTTAACTCAAATTATAAATGAGTCATTTAATTACAAAGAAACTCATCTGAAAAATTTTAACAGAGGTTCTCAGTACATTTCAAAAAAAATTGATTTTTAATTCAATTTATTCATAACTTTACATAAAAACAAGTATGACTAAATGTATATAATTAAGATGATCTACTTACAGTGTCTTTGAAATTCATTATAAATAATAAGCTCCATGAAATTAAACTGAAACTCAATTTACTGAATACCTATAGATTGGTTATTGTGGAATGGAATTTCATAAAAGAAAATATTTGGCCTTGTTGTTCAATGCTAGCCAACAATGACGTCTGAATGTTAAGTATTTTTAAAGTTTAATACTATAAAGATAAAACCAAAATGATTGATGGAAAATTTTTAGTGCTTAAGTAAAGTCTGTTGTTATCTAGATTTATAAAGCTCCTTGTTTCAAACTTAGCTTTGAATAATTAAATTCTAAATGACTGAATAAGCAGAACACATGTTGAAACTAAACTCTATGGACCATAATTTAAGACATTTACCTCATCCCATTTTATCAGGGAGAGAAAACATTTGTAACCATTAATATAATGGAATATACGGATTAAATTCATTTTGTGCAAGCCATATTTTCTTGCCATCTAAGAGAGTCATTATCGCTGGCCAGATGGCAGAGGCTGTGCTCAGGGCTGCGTGGGCATTATTTCATCTTATTTAAGTTACAAAACAAAGTCCATGGATGTTGTAAAATTTGAACCATATAGAAAAGCAAAGAATAAAAATTGAGAGGTTCTCTTGTCTCGTCTCCCTTTCTCTACCTTCTCTTCTCTCTCACTGCTGTCCTTCCATGCTGCTTATCAGAGAGGTACATATACATGTATGCACATACATGAGATCCTACCTTCAATCTTTCCCTACCTTCAACCAAATATATAAACACGTTTCTTTAAAAAGAAAAAACAACCAAAACATTTTTATTGATTTCAGAGAGGAAGAGATAGGGAAAGAGAGATAGAAACATCAATGATGAGAGTGAATCATTGATCGACTGCCTCCTGCACGCCACCCATTGGGATGGAGCCCCCAGCTGGGCATGTGCCCTGAGTGGAATCGAACCATGACCTCCTGGTTCATAGACAGATGCTCAACCACTGAGCCACACTGGCTGGGCACCATGTTTCTTAATATCTCTAATCAATTTCCATAGTCTGTAATTTATTTAACAATTCTCAAATAGGTAGATATTTTTGCTGTTGTATGTGCACACATTTATGGCACAGGTTAGTAGAGAACCATAGTGCAAGCAACGGCCAGAGCTTTTGCACAACGCCAAACAGCCCCCATTAGCATTTCTCAGAGAAGATAATCTGGCCCAGGACACAGAGTGGAACTCTTAACTTCCACGATCCACGATCCACGCTGCCACTTGATAAATACCACCTACCGCCCCCTCCCCAACCACTAAATTTTCCACCTGTTCCCAGGCCTCCCTCCTTTACAGCTTTGATGACCTCACTACCATGCTAAAACCCTGAAATGCCACCTCCAACTGTCCCCCCTTAAGCAGCTAATTCAGTGCCAGTCTCCTATCGCATTTGACCACTTTGCTGCTCCTTGCACCTAACTGCAGTCATTTGTGCAGGTGCCCATCGTCCCCACTGGACTGAGCTGAGGGCAGAAGCCACCTCTCACTTTCCTTGGAATTCCCTTTCTAACATCGTGTCGGGTATGCAGGCAGCATTCATAATAGGTGCTCGATAAACATTTTCTGAATGAATAGGTACATAATGAATGAGGAAGCCAGCAGAACCATTAAATGAATTCCTTTATAAAAGCCTGCAGGTACTGAGATTGCCTTTTTTTTCCCTGACACCAGACAGTTTATTGTGAAAAGCCATGGTGTAGGAGGGGAAGGCTGGGATGGACAGGACCAGGGCCCATGTGGGGGGAGTTAGCTGGACATCAGGCATTCCTCCGTGCAGGTTTAGCGGAAACACTGTCATGGATAAAACCCCCCCAGGGCAGCGCTATGACTGCCAAGCAGGAGGCTGGGGTGGGGGTGGGGTGCCCCAGGCACTGCTGAGCCCCTTGGTCAGCAGGGTTTCCACGTCAATGGTCGGAAAGCAGCGGCTGTACCTGCGCACAGGACCACCAGGAACTTCTGGAAGTTCCAGGCGACATCATAGCAGCCTACCTGAGACCAGGTGATGAACTTGGGGTCCTTCAGGAGAGCAGTGTGTGCGGGCAGAGCGTCCCACAGGAAGAGGAAGAGAGGGTGCGCCTGCGCGCTGCCCTTCACCTTGCACTTCTCCAAGAGTGTGAAGTTGGGCTTGAACCCACCACCAGGTCTGACGCATCGCTCGTTCTTGGCGTTCTCCTGATGCCCGAACTAGTTACACCTGAAGCCAACCCAGCCCGAGCCTCAGGCGCTCTGCAGCCTGTCCACCTGGGTGCCGTCCAGATCACTGTGCTCAGAGCGAGGCCAGGTTCTCAATGAGCAGCACCTGGCCCCGCAGGGAGCCCGGCATCAAGGGCTCCCACCGCCAGCTGAGTATCGGAGGAGAAGGGAGCGCTGGGAACTGAAATTGCCTATTTTGAATATTAAGATCTTTTTAAATGAGGAAAGACAACATGCTCCTTCTTTTTTCAAGGCTAGTTGTTCTAATTCCAAGGCTTTATTCCTGTCGCATCACTGCCACTCCCGAATCCTGTTGTTATTTTTTTCTGTTTTCTGGGCAGTTTCTGCCTCTCCCCATCTCAGCTGTGTCACACATTGGAGGCATTTCTCTGGTACTTACTCTCCCTACGATCAGCACTTTGCAAGGCGCTTCTAGCTGCCACATTTTATATATCACACCAGCATACTTGCTTCAATAATAAATGTGGTCTCCTTACCCTACGGCTCTTTAGAACTCCCAATTTTCCTCTGCCAGGCTTTTGAAATGTTGGTTCTACCTCATACTGGACAGTGCTTACAGTCCCCACTAGGGAATGGGAAGTATTTGTTGTACTGTGTCTTATTGCATTTGTGTTCATTGGAATATATCCTACTCTCAACTTTTCCACTTTGAAAATCCTGTTTATCACAAATCCTGTGTGCAAAAGTGCTTACCACTCTCTTTTGACCCTTTTTGAAAAATAAAACTTAAAAACAAGTAATTTCATCAGAGCAAAAACTGTAAGATCTGGGTTTACAAATATAAATGTTGTGTGTTTGTGTGCATGTATATGTGTGTGTGCGTGTGTAAGACAGTAAGAGACAGAAACAGAGAGGGGCTGTCTCTAGCTTCTCAGAGATAAAATCAAGATGATAGAAATGCTCTAGAGATAAACAAGAAAGCAGGTATGTAAACTGTGTAATATATCTTCTTTATATTTTACAATAGTATTGAAAATATTTTAAAATAAGTTAAAACAAAATCTAACATTACCGTGTCCATTTAGTCTTAATCCCCTCTCCTTTCCCCATGTGCTCTTCCCTTTTATTTTTATTTTTTGTTAATCCTCACCTGAGGATATTTTTCCATTGATTTTTAGAGACAGTGGAAGGGAGGGGGAGAGACAGAGAGACACATCCATTGGTTGCCTCCTGCACGTGCCCCGACCAGGGCCGGGGATGGAGCCTGCAACCGAGGTACATATCCTTG